TCCACATGTCATAGACATCAGTTTAGAGTGGGCTCTTTAACCCTACCCCTGTACCTATGCACGCTTGAATGTGTGTATATGTATACATTTTAGAAACATCCAGTTGCAAGACAAACTTTGGCTAATTGACTTTTACTGGTAAAAAATCCTCCCTGTTTAATAACTTTTTGTCTACTTCGCATCATTGCATTGGGTCTGTCTTTACTGGCTGACTTCTCCCTCCCTCTTGTTTATCTTGCTGTGAGTTATTAAGGGACTGCTCCTTGTGAAACAAAAGGAAATACCAGTACTTTTTCATCCCTGCATTTTAACTCTCTGTTCTGTTACACATTTTGGGAGACACACATAAAGTAGAAGAGAGGTGACAAAGTAGAAATTGAAGACTATGTTGCTATATGGTGTCTTATCTTAATTAGTGAACAGTTATTTCCCCAGCCAGAATATTTTATCTAAGAGTAAATAGTCTTCCAGTGTTGCAGTTATCTGAATATTATTTTAATGTACTCTTTCCAATATCCCTGTGGGGTAGCTATTAGAAGTTATTATGGAAAATATTTAATTTTATTATCATCTTCCTTATGATATAGATAGCAAACACAAAGAGGGAAAGGTCCATATCCTGTGTAAACTGGCTTCTTAGGAACAATTTAGATACCAAAGGCAAAAAGCCTCATTATTTTATCTTTTATGTTACCCTATAGACATAATACTATAAAAATTCTCATTTTCACAAGTGGAGGTCTGTATCTCAGCAAATCCAGATGCAGTCCAGTATCAAAATGGCTGAGAAATCATTTTTCTCTCAAAAGCCTATGAGTGATCAGGAATATCTAACAACGTGTTCCTCCAGCTACAATGCACTGAGGGGATCTGATCCAGTGTGTGTACTCAAAGAATATCCTACACATGGCTACTGTGTGTAAATCACACTTTAGTTATTGTATTAATTAACACAAAGAAATGGCTATAACAGGGTTCTTCTAGGCAAGGTTATGGAGCAGATCATCCTAAGTGCAATCACACAGCACCTACAGGATGGACAAGGGGTCAGACCCAACCAGCATGGGTTCAGGAAGGGCAGGTCCTGTCTGACCAATCTGATCTCCTTTTATGACCAGGTGACTCGCCAGGTGGATGAGGGGAAGGCTGTGGATGTGTCTACCTGGACTTCAGCAAAGCCTTTGCCACACTCCTGGAAAAGCTGGCAGCCCACGGCTTTGAGCCATGGAGCACAGAGCCCATTCTGTGCTGGGTTAGGAACTGGCTGGAGGGCCAGGCCCAGAAAGTGGTAGTGAACGGTGCTGCATCCAGTTGGCGGCCAGTCACTAGTGGTGTCCCCCAGGGATCAGTGTTGGGCCCAGTCCTGTTTAATATCTTTATCAATGATTTAGATGAGAGGATTGAGTCCACCATCAGCAAATTTGCAGATGAAACTAAGTTGAGGGGGAGTGTCGATCAGATGGAAGGCAGGAGGGCTCTGTAGAGGGACCTGGACAGGCTGGAGAGTTGGGCTGATTCCAACGGGATGAGGTTCAACAAGGCCAAGTGCCGAGTCCTGCACTTTGGCCACAACAACCCCCTGCAGCACTACAGGCTGGGGACAGAGTGGCTGAAGAGCAGCCAGGCAGAAAGGGATCTGGGAGTTTGGATTGATAGGAAGCTGAACATGAGCCAGCAGTGTGCCCAGGTGGCCAAGAAGGCCAGTGGCATCCTGGTCTGGATCAGGAACAGTGTGGTCAACAGTACCAGGGAAGTGATTCTTCCCCTGTGGCCTCACCCTTCAGCGCTGGTGAGGCCACACCTCGAGTACTGTGTCCAGTTCTGGGCCCCTCAGTTCAGGAAGGATATTGAGGTGCTGGAGCAGGTCCAGAGAAGAGCAATGAGGCCGGTGAAGGGACTGGAGCACAAGTCCTATGAGGAGAGGCTGAGGGAGCTGGGGTTGTTTAGTCTGGAGAAAAAGAGTCTCAGGGGAGACCTCATCACTCTCCACAACTACCTGACAGGAGGTTGTATCCAGGTGGGGGTTGGTCTCTTCTCCCAGGCAACCAACAGTAGGTCAAGAGAGCATGGTCTTAAGCTGTGCCAGGGGAGGTTTAGGTTGGATATTAGGAAGAAATCTTTTACAGAGAGAGTAATCAAACATTGGAATGGACTGCCCAGGGAGGTGGTGGATTCACCATCCCTGGAGGTTTTTAAGATGAGACTGGATGTGGCACTCAGTGCCACAGTCTGGTAACCACGGCGGTGTTGGATCAAGGGTTGGCCTTGATGATCTCAGAGGTCTTTTCCAACCTGGTTTATTCTATGATTCATGATTCTTTGATTCTAGCCAGGAATTTAATAGAATGTTTGCAGGGTCCCAGATTCAATTCTCACTTCTGCTGAGCAAGTTCAAAGCCACACATCCTGCCTTCCAGCCTAAGCTGTAGCTTACTTGCCAGAGTATCTGCCTCCTCTTCCTAAGAGTTACAAATTTCAAAGAAAAACTTGACAACTGTCAGGACTCATTATGCCAGTGGTTAGAGAAGTCCTCTGCGAGGTAGTGACGTAGTGGTCAGATCTTTCTCCAAGTTTAGTTTATATTTTATACTTGAAGGCTGTTTCACGTACATCATTAGTTTTATTCTGGTAGGACAAATCACCAATAATATTCCCAAACACTCTGTTTTGTTGATTTCAGATTACTGATGGTTTATAAATTTTTAGGAGTTAAGGCCACTCTCACATGTGAAGCTTCTTCCCTTGACAGCATCACACCGTGGTCATGCAGTGAGGCTGCTGGACAGCCTGCAATGCACCTATACTATATGGAGGGGGGTATGCTATAGGGAGGGTGAGGAAGAGAGATGACATGGCCAAACTAGGATGAAGAATAAAGAAAGATTCAGTTAGGAATGGATGACAACAATATTTACACAAAATACTCTCTGATTATTCAGCAGAGGACCTAGTTGGGGTCCCTTGGGAAAACAAGAGTATCACTTCATAAATAGCCACATAGTAGCATCAAATGAGATCATTCCATACACAGACAAGCTGAATTCTGCAACTTCTACTTAAGTGTTTGCTTTGCAACCCAAATAGCATTTATTTTAATGGTACTTAAGAATAAATAAAGACGAAAGGAGTAACATGCCCCACAGCATATTAATTTGGGCCGTTTCTCCTTGCAAGTGGCTTAACTTAAGGCACTTGAGCCTCTGCCTCATGTTCCCACAAGTTTCGGACAGCAAGCTGGCTTTGTTCTTTTAAAGAGGGTTATGAAAATGCAAACTAACAAGTTGCACTAAAGTTTAAAAGTAATTAGCTTAGAAGACCAGTGTCAACATAAATGATATTAAAACGTCTAGCCAAGTGCTATGTAAACTACTGCAGCACTGGAGAGTGTGAGGACATCTAAATAACATGGGCACAAGAGAAATCTTAAATAGGTGTAGATAGAAAAGAAAATTCTCATCCATTCAAAATCACTGCCTCAAAGCCAGTAAGTCTAAGTTGTATAAGTACTATTTCATCTATTTTCAAAGAAGGTCTTATAGATGACTGGGTCACTATCATTCTCCAAAGCAAGAGAAAAATTGCTAGCTCACTTCAGAACATATCTTTTCCTTTTGAGCAGCTGAATTTTTGGCATACCACAGCTCAGCCCTGTTTGGAGCCTTGTAAAAGTCATTTCTTTGAGCCTATCAGTAGCCAAACGGAGCACTGCGAACATTCTCGCTGGAGCTGCCAGCGAAACAACGGCTCCCCGAGGATTAACTTCTTCTCAGAAAGAAAGCGAGCCTGTGTTACCACAGCATAATGGCCTTCATCTGTAACCTAGATCTGAGCTGGTTTCTTTCAAATGCCTTCTCACTGTGCTATCAGGAAAGCCACTCAGTGTTCAGCAAACTTCACAGGATCAAATGGTGCCATTGGGAACCTGCTGTCCTTTCCCTGAGCCCTTTTGGAGAAAGCCTGAGAAAAAGGAAAGGGTCTCAAATATCTTTCCTGGAGAGAGAGGTATGGGGCAGTACAGGGAGCAGGGAACAAGCACATCTTTCTCATCAGGAAACAGTATGATAAACATCCCTGTGTGCTTTACTGTCCTGACATGTTGATCCAGGGGATAGGAGGGGCAACACTCACTGCAGTTTCTGGTTACTCAGCCTTTGACAGCAAGGGGGCAGGAGCAACTGTGGTGTGTCATATGGCAGCCCAAAGTGCTGACCACTGCCTGCAAACATCCATGTCTCCTCCCGTCTGAGGCTGGGTCTAAAATAAAACCAGGGAAGGTGACCTTAAAGGCCGCTGCCTTCCAGCTTGTTCTGTACCCAAGGGAACAAGACATTTGCATCTCCCATGGGCATATAGGCCTTTCTGTCTAAAATACAATACAGTTTGTCCTGCTGAACATTTTTCAGGTAAGCTTCTAACATGAAGGATGACACAGAGCCTGAATCTGTAAATGCTTGTGTGAAAAAAAAAAAATTTTTTGCTGCCATGAGACAATCTGCTGGCAGATCAGCAGTCACAGTGCTGGAGCAGGAAGGAATAAATCTCAGAACTCATTCACAGTGAAGGCCAGTCACTCTAACTGGGGTACAACTGCACTGACCTCTAAAGGGGGCAGTGTTAAATTAATGTTGAGTCCTTAGAAAACATTACCCCATTTATTTTGAGAGCTGTGAACTCCTGATGACTTAGACCACATTCTGGTTCTTTGTGGGAGATTTATCAGATGTATGGTAGGAATCTGAAAAACTGTCTGGAACAGGCAAGGGTAGGTAAGTTGGAAAGGGGAAACTTAATTTAGACATCTAATGATAAGTGCTCCAGTTCAGAAAAACATTCCTCCATAGCTGGAGAAGTAAACTATCAGAGACCAAAACCCCTTTGCTGATCTAACTGTTTATTTGAGGTACCTACATCTATTCATTTACTCCACAGCATGCCCAAGCAGTCAGCCCTGGTTTTACAAATTCTACATCCAAGAAACATAATAAAATATATCTCCTTACCTGCTCTGTGAGGAGCTCTCAGGTACATGGTACATGAAGACATTTCCTCGAGAGGCAGCAGCCCAGTAACTGGCCATGTTTATGATGGGACATGTGATAAACTGGTCACTGATAAAAAAGGAGGAGCAAGGAACAGACACAGTCATGTAATGGAAAAAAGGAAAGAACCCCCACAACCAACAGACCACTCTCTATCTTGATAATTTTCTTTAAATATTCCAAAACAGCTCATATCTCTGCCTTCAAATCCACTGAAGGAAACCACATTTACCATCTACGAGTGCAGTATCACTTAGAATTCACTAAAATTGCTGTTTTATGGAGTGTTGAACAACAGTGATGATAGTAAATAAGCCAGATCTGACACGCAAGGACTATCCTGGCCAAAAAAACAATCCCATTTTATTCTAGTTTATGGGGGCCCTTGCTTATAATAGAATAAAGCTCCTTCTGGCACCACTAGGTTGCAATGACATCTAATAAAAGTTTTTATATATTTCCTGGATTAAGGGCCAAAAATATAATTTCTGAATTTGGATCTGTGTGATTTCTTTGGGTAAAGCTTCCACTGCTGGAAGAGGCAAGAGACTACTTTTGAAGATAACCTGCAGGGCTCATCAATACGGAATATCTGGTGCAATACATTTGGGAGACAAAGGTTAACCAATAAGAGTGCAATGAGATAGCTAAATGATCAGTTTAACACCAGGTAATGTAATGCAAAAGGTATGACTGAAGCAACTGTATCCAAACCTTCCTACTTTCCACAGCCCCAAGAAGGGGGGTTGTAACATGAGGTCAGCAGTAGCTGGAAGAAGCACAAGCTGTTCAAGGGGGGCAGGTAGAAAACAGGACACCTTACTGCAATAACACCTTACTTGTTATGATTCCTCAAGGCAATACTATATATACACATATCATCATTCTCACTCTTCACGTGCCCAAAGACTCAGCACATGCTTTGGGCATTTATATACCCTTACCTACATAAGTGCACACAAACATATCTGCTGAGGAAGTGGGAGGTTTCAATTCTCAGTTTAGTGAATCTGAAACAGCAGCTTCTCCTTCAGACTTGGTAGGTAAAAAACCAAAAAAATAAATGACTGGTGCAAGAAAGAACAGTGTCAGAGAAGCATGAAAACACACTGCTATATTTAACTGGTATGGTTATGAAAGGCACTGTTTGGGTATCTATCTTGGTTCAGCAGAGTTTATTTTAAGCTCATCTGTGAGACCACAAGCTATGGGCTGACTGACCACAGTGCTCTTTGACAGTTATGGTTGACAACACCCATATGAAATGAAAATTACCAATCTTCACATGCCTACCAGCATGGGGTTTTAGAAGAGCAGATGGTCTTTGAAAACTAGGGAGTCTGGGAGAGCATTAGCTCTCGAGAAATGCTTTGAGATACATTTCACCATTTAAAACTGATTCTCAGTTGCTGCTATGGGGGAAAAAATAGTCAGCTATTCTGGGGAAGTAAAAAACCTTAAATACATAGTAACCACAAAAATGAAAAAGCTGTTTCTTATAGGCCTGGAATATGTTTAAAAAAAAAAAAAAAAAGGAAAAAAGAAAAAGAAAACGAAACTAATTTTATACTTAGGAAAAAATACAAGAATTCAGTGGAAATATTTTAAAACTATGAAATATGCACAATGTATGTAGTTTATAGCAACCACTTATGTTGCTCTATCACACTTTGTAATTCCTGTTAAAACTTAAGCAGTCAATTATAACTTCCTGAACTAGAACTTTTCTAAGCTTACACACCTATGCTGGTAGTAAGGTTTTTGTTAAAAAGAAACAAAACTAAGGGAAAAGAACCCCAAAACCCAAACCAACTAACCAAATATCAAAAAACCTGAACAATCCCCTCTTTTCTTCACCATTTATATGATACTGATGTAGATGACTGTCATTCTGCACCTGCTGTCTCCCTTTCCCTTCTTCTGTAGCTGGAGTACATTCCAAAGTGTTTAAAGCAAAGATTATCATCAGATGCTCTTACTGCTCATTCTTCTTCTTCTTGCTCAAGAATGAGCCATCCACTTCTTTCCTTAGCCAAGGCATTTGCCTCATATCATAAAGAAGTAGGGAATCCCTATGCCCAGGAGGCTGTCACAGGCGCTTGCAAGGAACTGTTGGTGTATAACATTCCTGCTGGAAGTGAGCTCTGTGCCAGCCCTTCCAGCTTTGCAAAAGTCAATGTTTGCACCACGCTGAGCCCTGGGCTATATGTGGATTATCAAATGTGACAGCCCTGTGTTATAACAGCTCCTCACAGAGCTATGAGGGGAGACCCCATCACAGTCTACAATTTCCTTGTGAGAGGAAGAGGAGGGGCAGACACTGATCTCTTTTTTTGTGATTACCACTGACAGAACCCAAGGGAATGGCCTGAAGTTGTGTCAGGGGAGGTTTAGGTCAGACATTAGAAAAAAGTTATTCACCCAGAGGGTGGTTGGCACTGGAACAGGCTTCACAGAGAATTGGTCACAGCACCAAGCCTGTCAGAGTTCAAGAAGCATTTGGACAATACTCTCAGCCACATGGTGTGACTCTTGGTGATGGTCCTGTGCAGGGCCAGGAGTTGGACTCAATGATTCCTGTGTCTCTTCCAACTCAGCATATCTGTGATTCTGTATCTCTAGATAAGAAGAAGGGTTAAAATTTATGTCCTTCAGTGGTTTATTATGGCTTAAAACCTTACTGATCTGACTAAAGAATTATAATCCCATGGCTAGCAGTAGTGATGGAAGGAGACTGAAGACGAGTTCTGGCTTTAATGCCCATGAACCATAGTGCTTCCACAGGTACTGCAGGCAGTGTCTCCAGATGTCACAGTGATGGGTGGCCTGTCCCTGGGACAGGCTACAAGGGAGGACAAATGTGTCATGGTGCGAGAGTTGACAAATGGCACAAAGCTCAACCCACAGCCTTCTGGCTTGTTTACTCAAAGGACGGGCACACCTGGACCACCCAGAAACTACTGTCCACTTTCTTGGAGCAGATGTTTCCATGCAAATCTTGGCTCCTGTTCATCTCCTGCTCCCTAAGGCTGCCCTGGAGCGACGCTCTGCAGCTCCGATGGAGGCATAAAAGGAAAACCCTGTTTCTGAGGTGCTGTGGAGAGGGTCACAGTGGGACAGAAAACACTGAGACTGCAGATACCGGGAGCTTGTAGCTATTATGTCTCAGTTAAGAACAGGGGTGAAACATCTTGGACTGGCATGTTAGGACTCAAGCCACCAGTTTATAAACCACATCACATTAGAAATGTGAAGAGTTTTCATAATGCATCTGCTCATGAAGCAGAGACAGGAATAGGGAAAGAGTTTTTGATTAATTTTTGGAAAATCTGTTCCACTTAAACATTCAGTCCCTGAGTTTGCATAGAGGCAGAAAACAGGAAATTTCTCCTCAGTTTGCCTTCTTTCAGAAAAACTGAAACACGCCCCACCCCTCAGTTTAAGATCTGTAACTGGCTAAAGCAAACTGGTTGCCTGTGGGGGAGACAGCAAACTCCAGTCTTCTCTGCAGACGAAACCAGTATGTGACCCAAGCTAAAGACATCCACCAGGCTCTGTGGCCAACCATAGGTGTCATGACTGCTGTGGAGTCCTAGTTCAACTGGGCAATGAACCCTTACAACTGACTGTTATCGAACTGCTTGACCCTGATGCCAGGGTTTGACCCTGATACCCAGTTAGGGTTGAAGCTATGCATACATACAAGGTGGTGTGAACGTGGCCCACTGCTCATCTTCCACCTCCCAATGGTCCATAAAATGTTTCAGTGCAAAGTATAGGAGTGTATATATTGGAGGTAAGTTACTCATGACTCTGCTGACATGTATGAGGTGCTAGAGTGTGTCCAGAGAAGGGCAACAGAGCTGGTGAAGGGTCTGAAGCACAAGTCTGAAGAGGAGCAGCCAAGGGAGCTGCGGGTGCTTATCCTGGAGAAAAAGAGGCTCAGGGGCAACTTTATTGCTCCCTACAATTGCATGAAAGGAGGCTGTAGTAAGGTGAGGGTGTTCTCAAGTAACACTCGAGAGAAAATGGCATCAAGTTGTGCCTGACATTGTGAAGAAATATATTTTGCAGGTTTCATAATAAAAAAAATAATGTAATTGCTGAAATCAAAGTTTTCAAACTTGACCACTGAGGAAAAGTATCTAACTGTATAATTAGGTGACTGTTTGGGAATAAAAGCCAGTCTATTAGTTCTTCTACTGTCACAGGGATGAGAGGACTCAAGAAATAGTTGATGCAGAGTATGCAAACAACCCAGTCATCTTTGATGTGAAAGAGTACACAAATAAGCATTAGTAGTCTGAATCCAATATACAGTTCTTGAAAGACATGTCAAACTTTTAACAAGGCACAAAAATCAGTTCTATTTCCATTTACCAATGACATTGGAAACCTCACAGAAAATGAAATCATATTGCCCATTTTTTGTTCATTTGCATAAGAATTTCTCAAGTTTTTCGGAATATAAATGCACACTGTAGATAAGCAAAATAAACCTTGTTCAACTCCAATCACACAGTTGTAATAGGATGACTTTCTTACCGGGTAGCATTTTCCAAAGCCCTGGAAAAGGATGAATAATCATCAGTTGAATGTTCGAGGGAGTAATACCACGTAGCTGCATCTTCAATGAACAAGTTGGACTCTTCTCCTCCTAGAGAATTTTGCAGAGCCTGATAAAAGGCTGTTTTGCTGTTGGCTCTTCCTTGACTTTCTTCAAATTTCTGAGAACAAAATGCATACATGGAATTTAGAAACAAAACCAAAAGATTCATTTTCTGGTGAAACAATATAGGCTCAGATCTCCCTCTGCTGGAACAAGTCCTCTATGCTGTGATCCCTGATTCCTAGGGGATTAAGTAGGGGACAGTCCTACTTTCGTTTTCCCAAAACTGTCACTGACCAGAAGCATTGGCTTCTTCTAAGTATAGCATAGGACAGAAACCTTGATCTAGTAATTCCAAATCATAGGTACCACGCTGAGCAGATGGAGCTCTAATAGTTCAGAAATCCTGCTGGCTCTCACAGAAGTAGTTCCCAGGGATAGCTCTCCACTGTGTGTCCAATTCTGTCTTTCTGATGAATTCCCTGAGAGAAAACTAGAGGGGAGAGAGGGAGATTTTCCTGCTTCCCTTTGAAAATTCCAGAAAGAAAACAGGTTGTATAACCATTTCATGGCTATATCAATCTGTCTCTTCTGGGAACACCTACAAAATAATGTGGCTGCTGTAAGTTCTGTATTTAGGTCCCTTTCTGGAATAATATCTGCCTTAGCCCTGGAAGAGAAATTCCATTTCTCCAAATCCCAATGCAAGGAACAGCCGTGATCTTCAAGCTTCATAACTGCTAGGGTCTTTCAAAGAAACCAACAGTGAAACACCCTTTTCCTGTGGTCTGAAACCTTTCTTAACATGAAGGCACATTCCCCAGAGCAAAGTGCCCATGTCACAGGGACAATCTTCTATGCCAAACTGCATACCCAAACACACTTTTATCAAAGCTAGACTGCTGGAATTTTTCAGGACATCTTTCTTTGAGGAAGTTTTTTATTTTGTCAATTCAGTTTTTTTTAATTTTTTTCTAAAGAATTTATTTCAAGTTCAGAAACAGAGCAACTTCTCTGTTCATCAAGTCCTTTCTAAAGAGGGCACCATGTAGGTGCATATTGGGTGAAACTTGGATAAGAACTCTAGAGAAAAAGTCTAATAAACCACCTCTATTATTTTGGGCAGTCAGTCTGATGCAAAATAGGCCAGTGTCTGCCCAGTCCAGTTAGTGTCGATGCTTTACTGAAAATATTATTTTGATGGCCCACAGCTGGTTTTCATCACACTTCTAGAAGGTCTTTCCACAACCCTATACAGAAAGTACAAACGGAATAATTACTTTTCAATAGATTCACAGAAATCAAAGACGGAAAATAAGTTCCCGATGTGCTGAGGCCGAGGTTTGTCCTTAGTGACATATTCTAACGCTCTGTGCATTTTGATTAAGTCATTTTGAGGGATTTCAAAACACTACCAAATATCCCAAGGTCCAAGAAGATCTTGGAAATCTTCCTCATACTTGTAAAAAATTCCTCTTTTGCTAGATTTTGGCCTATGCATGGTGAAAGAGTCATGTGGTGGCAGTTTTAGTAATACAGCTGTACTTTGAAAAAGATGGGCAACTCACTCATGACACGTCACTTCATGTGCATAAATGCCACATAAGAAACTGCATAGCACACTTGCCTGCAGAATCGTTCAGCTTAAATACAGCAAGGACACGCATATTCTTCTGCAAGAAATAGAAATGATCACTGAAGACCTGACTGAAAGTTCACTGAATTCAAAAGCAATCTTTCCATCACAGCTTTGGCACACATCAATTCAGACTCCTACCAACCAGCAGAAGCAGTGTTTGTCTAGATAGGGATCTCTCATTTGGTGACTGAAGTTAGCAGTTATGGGTAAGAACAGATGCTTTTCCATGCCAGTGCAAAGCCCAAGCTCTTGTGTATAAATCATCCGGGTGCAAGCAACTTTCATGCAATACTTTAATTTTATTGGCTTTTTAAAATGGATTTGTTACCTTATTCTACACCTGTCATGGATACTTAAACCAGAGAGAAATAAAGAGAAGAATCTTAGGGTACTGATTATGTACCCTAGGAACTGTTCCTTCACTGTGTCATTGATGGCCAAGTATCAAATAAACATTAAGGTTGAAAACCACAGAGAAGGAGATGGATCATTATACAACAACACACAGTTAAGCTGAGGAACTCCTTGCCACATGGTTTTGTGGATGCCAAATTGGTGGATATGAAGTTTCATGAACGAGTTTTTTAATTAAAAAAAAATAAAATTATTTGATGGTTATTAGATACAGAAAGACCGATTCAGGCTAGGAAGTCTCTGAGCTGCAAAGTACTAGAGGTTTGCAGAGCATTTAGCAGAAGTATCATATTTGCTTACCCTATTTTTACAAACAGCCTCTCTTAACCACTGCTGGAAACACCATTTTGTGCTAAACAGGCCTTTTATCTGGCTCAGTGCAGTCAGCCTTAGGTATTTAATGTCAGAGGTCAAGCAGACAAGGCAGAAGGCTGACTTGGCTGAACAGGGATCTTACCTTAGAAATAAGGCAAAAAAAGAAGGTATATGCCCAAGGTCAGGTGATATGGGAAGAATACAGAGATGCTGCTTGCCACTGTAGAGAGAAAATTTGTGTAGTCAAAGCTCTACTGGAGTTGAAGCTGGCCATGAATGCGGGGGATAATAAAAAGAGGTTTTTTCAAACATATTAATGGCAAAAGGCAGTGTAGAATAAACATCATCCCATTACAGGATGAGGATGGTCACCTCAAACAGGGACATAGACAAGGCAAAGGTGTTTAATACATTCTTTTGCCTCTGTCTTCAACACAGATGACGAATCAAGGAGGTCTCAGTGTCCTGATCTGGAGGACCATGACTGTGAGAATGATCAACTTCCAGTCTACCCTGAAATTGTGTGGGATCTGCTGCTCCAGCTGGATCCCAATAAATCTATGGGACCTGACGGGATTTCATCTAAGAGCTGCTGATGTCATTGCAATGCCTCTCTCAACTATTTTCAAGCAGTCTTGGGAATCTGGAGAGGTCCCAGCTGACTGGAAGGTGGTGAATGTTGTCCTGATTTTCAAGAGGGGCAATAAAGAGGACCCTGGAAACTACAGGCCTGTCAGTCTCACCAATGCTTGCTAAAATCATGGAAAAGATTATTCTGAGAGGTATTGAAAAACATCTGGAGGACAACACAGCCATTGGTCACAGCCAGCATGTGTTCATGAGGGGAAAGTCCTGCCTGTCGAACAGGATTTCCTTCTATGACAAGGTAACCCACCTAGTTGATCAAGGGAAGTCAGCTGATGTAATCTTTTTGGATTTCAGTAAAGCTTTCAATACTGTCTCTCACAGGATCCCTCCGGACAAAATGTGCAGCACATAGCTGGAAAACCATGTTAAACAATGAGTGAGCAACTGGCTCACAAGTCAGGCACAAAGAGTTATAGTGAACGGGGTAACATCAGGCTGGTGACCTGTTCACTACTGGGGTTTCGCAGGACTCCATCTTAGGCCCTATTCTCTTCAACACCTTCATTAACTCCTTGGATACAGGACTCGAAGGAACACTGAGTTTGCCAACAACACTAAATTGGGAGGAGCTGTCAACTGCCTCCAGGGCAGAGAGGCCCTGCAGAGAGACCTCAACAAATTAGAGAGATGGGCAATCACCAACTGTGTGAATTTTAACAAGGGCAAGTGCTGGACGCTGCAGCTGGAATGGTGAAACCCTGGTTGTGTGTATAGACTGGGAAATGAGAGGCTGGAGAGCAGCACTGCAGGAAGGGACCTGGGGGTTCTGGTCAATGGCAAGGTGAATATGAATCGGCAGTGCCCTGCAGCCAGGAGGGCAGTTAAAGGCTGACAGACCCCAGCCTTTCATTGTAAGCAATTAAACCATGTCCTAAGTTGTATCAGGCAAAGCATCACCAGTTGGTCGAGGGAGAGGATTGTCCTGCTCTGCTCTGCACTGGGGCGGCCTCACCTTGAATATTGTGGCAGTTTTGGGCACCACAATATAAAAAAGACATTAAGCTGTTAGAGAGCATTCAGAGGAGGCCAATGAGGATGGTGAAGGGCCTGTAGAGGAAGTCTTACAAGGAGCATCTGAGGTCACTTATGTTGTTCAGCCTGGAGGAGAGGAGACTGAGGGGAGACCTTATTGTGGACTTCAACATCCTCACAAGAGGAAGTGGAGGGGCAGATACAGATCTCTTCACTCTCATGACCAGTGAAATGGCCCCAAAGAAATGGCACAAAGTTGAGTTGGGTGAGGTTTAGGTTAGATACCAGGAAAAGTTTTTTCATCCAGAGGGTGGTTGGGCATTGGAACAGGCTCTCCAGGGCAGTGGTCACAGCACCAAGCCTGACAGAGTTCAAGAAGCATTTGGACAACGTTCTCAGACACATGGTGTGACTCTTGGGCTGTCCTGCACAGGGTCAGGAGTTGGACTCCACAATCCTGATGAGTCCCTTCCAACTCAGTATATTCTACGATTCTATTCTATGATTTTATGATTTACTGTGCCTATGTACCAGTTTCTGTGACCTCCAAAATGCCCCAAAAACTCTGGTGACCTTTCTCAGCAATAACTGATAATAGAGTGAGGTCCCTGAGATATGTTGAGTCAAAGAGGACTCAACTGGCAGAGATGGATAAGAAACAGAACTGGCATTTGTTATATATTTTAAGAATTTTCATCCCCCAGACAGCACTAAAATAGCACAATCTGAAAGAATTTCTGAAGTGTCCCTTTGGTTACAATATAATATAATTTAAACTTCCGACTTGAACATGATAGCCCCAAACAAAGCAATACATTCAAAATGAAATTTACTAAACATTAAGAAGACAAAACATTTTAACTTCTCAGAAATTGATTCAATTAGACCAATTTTCCATCTCCAACAAATGTTTCCCATTAGAAAATATACAACCAACGAACAATCTTCAAATTACAGTAGATACAACAGCTACTACCAGATTAATAGAAACAGCTGCACATCATGTAAAATAATTTACATTCTGCTAACCTTTAAAGAGGCATTAGCAACTGACCTCAGAGTTATAGTGGGGTTTTCAAGCTTTTTTAGAAAGCATGTAAGAAAATCATTAAAGTCAGCAGGCGCACTCCCTTCTACTCTTCTGGTGATGCAAAGTCATCATAAATATTGCTTAAATAATGAGTTAGATATTGCTTACTGTTCTTGCTGCAGGATACCTACCGGAGCATATGAATGAATCTAGTCCAGTGTTTTATTTTAAAAGAAATTGTAGCAGTAGGTAGACCAGACATTTACATCTTCCAAGGGGCAAATGTACTTTTTCTAACAAACTGGAATAGTGATAACACTAACAGAGATCTTAGGCCTTATATGGCTTTTGACAAACACTGTCACAAAGGATGGTAAAAGACCTGACAGCCATTCAGCAGAGTCTTCTAAGAATTCCATCTAGTTGCAAGATGAAGTAAAGAGCTGATATCAGCCTATTCTCCTCACTGATGGGATTTATCAGGACATTGCTCCCCTGGTCACTACAATAAATATACATATATCTGCCACCTGTTGTACGTTGCTGAATTCCTTTTTCCATAAAGAAATTAACTGATTGTAATACAGTGCAGGATGGAAGTTCTGGTCTGCATAGGTCCGGTTGCTTACATGAAGTAAACAAACTAGATTTCTATCTATCCAGTCCCCTATGTCTTGGTTTCGGGTTTTGCATCCACCTAGATTGTACTAAGGAGGGAAAGAAAAAGAAAATGCAAAAAGTACAGCCTTAGTATTTCAACTAAATCGTTGCAGGGTGGAGATTACACAGTAGGCACTGAACATATGGAGGATGTGGACTGGATTATACTGACCTACGTGCTTAGAGAGACAAACACAGACATTGAGCCACATGAGTGAATCCATATATTTAATGCCATTAGGTCCTCCCACCTGAGCATCACATATAGCACAGGGACAAAATTTTGTCAGTTGGGAATTGAAATCAACATTTTCAGAGGTTTCTGCTCAGCTGCCCTAATCTATGACTGCTCAAAGCTAATATTCCCTGAAGGTCTGCCATGGGAATTGTAGTGAATGATTTCAGGCTTAACTACTCCATATGCCACACAATAGTGCATTATGGTACCACTTGCCAGTCCCTTAACAAACTCTGCTTTGTTTCTCACTTAGTTTCAACCATCTGATGGCTGCACTGGGGATGAGTAGGAAGCGCTGCAGGAAGTGCTGAATCTGTCTCAGTTCACATGAATAAGCATTTCAGTGAATGCCATAAAATGGACATTTCCACGGGCAAGACATTGAGCACATCCTACTCCCTGCTGCATCACTGGGAGACCTCAGCCTTTAACTGTAGGCAAATAGAACAGAAATGTTTTGCCAGCACTTAAGTGATGCCTTCTGTCTTTCTAGTTCATTTTTAATAGCAAAGACCTTAACAGGCACAATCACAGTGTTGCCATGGGAGTACAGAGACACCCAGCACAACGAAGTGTCAGTAAGCCCCCAGAGAACAACATAGTGCCAACTGGATTTACCACCTTTAGGTCTAATTGCAGTCTAGAGGTTTTACTCTCACTTCTACGACTCATCTGCTGAGAGTTTATAAAACCTGCATGCAACTCCAGTCTAAAGTGATAAGATTTGCATCACATCTCAAGCTTGCTTATATCCAACTGGATAAAAGTATATCCTCACCACTTAACAGGATAACTATTCAGAGAGATCAGGATTAACAGAGCAAGCCCTTGACTGAATTGGTCAACACAGTTATTCCCAGGAGCTGGCAGAGCAAGTCAGCAGGGGTTAGGTTTTTCTAACCCCCGCTCTTTGCATTAACTACACTGAAATCAGTCACCCTACAGAAGATGGAAATGAAGGACTTTGTCAAATCCATACACATGCCACAGTACCTTTTAGCTGTGTTTATCTACTGAAATACATGCATGGTTCTTCTCTCTACAGAGTGGGAATACAACCACAGATGGATTTTCATCCCAGGGAGGTTTAGTCCCCTCTTTGCAGAACAGACTAAAGACTCTGGTTGTAGTCAGAGGCAAACTAGGAACTTGATTCCCCAAGTTGAGCTCAGTACTCTGTCCACCAGCTAATCCTTCCCACACTCCTTAGTGTAACAGTAAAACCAGTTTTGGGTTTTCTTACAAAGATGCAAGACAGATCTACCTCAAGAGAACCCTTAAAATTAATAAAGTAGAAGAGTGGGATACAGTGTGGGTTGTCTCAAATCCTTCTTCGAGGTCTATTGTGGGGAGAGGACATTTAGCACAGATTAAAGGTTCCTTATAACATTATGACAGAGGAAATGGGGCACAAACTTCCAGATAACAACCACCATCTGCACTAGTTTCTATCACTGTGGCTAAATACGTCTGTGGCTTACTCAGGACTTCATCTGACTGACTGAAACCATACATGGTCATGGCTATGACACAGAAATTCTTCTGAGAACCTGGAGAATGCATGTTGTTAAATAGCTTAATAAGCATTGCAGTTTCCCAGCAATTAATACACTGTGTCAACAAGGGAGAAATCAGGAAACTTTAACCTTGCAGCAAGTCTTTAAGAAAACAATCCAGACAGGAACACAGATTGGTTAAAACACTCTTATTCCCTCAAGTCTTAAAAACCTGGAGCCACAGGAAAAGAGATATAGAGGAAAAATATGCATTTAAAAAATCATCAGTTCTACTAAGACCGTGAAAACAGCTTAAGAAAGTCAAAAGGAAGAAAATAGAATAGAACCACCTACCATGAATATTATGACTTTTCTGGAACACAGATGGAATTTGACTTAAGGCATAAGGACAAAGTAAGGTAGCTATTACTATAATAGGTAGTAAAGAAGTTAATTATCCTTCTAAGTAAGGATAGTTAAACCTTAATAGTGATAAGAAACTTGGGGACAAACTTCTTAGTAGTGCCTATTGCAATGGGACATGGGATAACAGTTTTAGACTAGAAGTGGTAGATTAGTGGATAGAATATCAAGAAGAAGCTTATTACAATGAGTGTGGCAAAATACTGGGACAGATTGCCCAGAAAGCTGGTAGATGCACCATCCCTGGAAACATTCAAGGTCAGGTTGGACAGGGCTCTGAGCAGCCTGTCTCATTGCAGGAGGAATTGGACTAGATGAGCTTTAAAGGCCCCTTTCAACCCAAACCCAACCCAACCCAAACCATTCCACGATTCCATATCTACCTCAGGCTGAGGTAGATATGACCCTTTCTTAGGGTTGAGTTGCACTTTTTGAGTTCCCTTCCAATCTTATTTTTTGCAAGCCTTTAAATAAACAAGATATTTCAGATTTTCTTTTTGGAAAGGCAACATTTTTCTGCTAAGCTCTCAGTTACAAGTGTTTTTTCTTTCCATTTGAACCTGACATTGCCAGGATTTAGCACTTTTGCCTTTCATCAACACCATGATTTTTTGCATAATCTTTAAAACATCACGGAATTTCATTTCAATTTTCCAGACAACTGTGATATGCGGAAACAGTTGTAAAGAAAAGAATTTCACTTCCTAGTCTTCATCACAGGACTTATATTGAGGCTACTGAGGTTTCTTCCCCTCTTACAAGGTCTGGATCATTGTCTGCAGGCCTCCAGCATCACAGTATATCTTCTATGCCTTCCTGCTATGACTTCCTCTTTTAATTGATTCCAAAAGAGAAAGATACATAAAATAAGAGCAGGAATCTTCTGATGGAGACTAAACAGGTAATATGAACTTAATTCGGGTGGGTCAAAGGGGTACTTTTGCCATTAATTCTGAAGTAAATTGGTCTATGTGTTATTGGCTACCAACAAAGAGAAGTTGGGATTGAACTTTCACAGCCAAGACATGAAATCCACACAGTTACAGAAAGATAGCAACAGACCTGCAGCTCACTTAGAAAACCCTCAAAACAATCCCTGCTGTGTTACATTCTCCTGTTGATTTCTTAGCACATATCTGAGCACTTGCTAATATTTAATTTAATTTGGCACTGTTAAACAGAGAAGAGCTATTGCTCCTATCACAGAGAAGGACAAATGAACTAGAAAAGACTGATATGCTGTCTCAGGAAAAAACAGAGCTAGAAGGTTCACAAGAAGACATAAAATCTCTGTGGATAAACTTTCAGGCTTTTGAGGACTTTTATGTCCAAAGTACAGCATGGATGCAATTCTTTTTCATTTCACCAGTTTGTGTCCTAAAACCTCAGACCAGTGCTGTTCTTAGTTATAGGCAGTCCATATTCAGAATCATCGTTACGAATCATCTTAAAGGCAACAGAGAAAACAGGTTACCAAAAAAAACCCCATCCCAAAATGCTGACTTAATCCTGCTGCAAAGTGAAGAACTTCATAGCCAAGTTATGAGCTTGGTTTCTGCTTTGTGAGATATTACTGAGATTGAAACACAAATAGGATTTTGGAGACTGTAAAACATAAATGCTAAATCCCTGCTGATCTCCTATCTTTTCATATGTCCCCAAGTAATGTTAATCAACAAATATGATAATGAACAGGACTGGCTGGAGATGGACAATGCCTTTGCATATTTCCATGTGGTATAATTCACAACTTGTAGAAATCAAAAAACATCTATCCTTGCCGCATATGATTACTGTCATCACTATACCATTAGTTCATTAACAGTGAGTGTCCTCCTACCTTAATTGCTTTAGCTCTGCTGATGAGCCCATCTTGCTGAACACTTCCAATGAGCAGATCTACTTTCCGAAGCTGAGGGCGCCGCAGGGCTTCGGCTAAAGGTTCCTTCAGGTAAATTCCATCCACCACTGGCCCCCAGTACTGGAATGGGCCACTTATAGCTAGCAGCTATGTTAGCAAAAAAAAGCAAGAATTGTGCAGTTAAATTAGCTTACCCTTTCATTTCCATTTTATTTATGCTTAAGACAACTGATCTGATACCCTTCAAAGGAACAAGTGATCAGTTAATATAAGTGCAAGCTCACCACTGGGAGGAAACAATGGTTTTGCTGACAGAATCAGTAAGTCAAAAACAGGCTGAAGAGACCAAAAGAGTTGATGGTCTTATAGACATAAAATATTATTTTAAATAAGGGATTGGCTCCATGCTGATCTTGATAAGAAAATTTATTGTCAAGTGGGCGTTTTAATTTGTGGGTAAAAGATCCATCTCTAGAATTATTTATACTGCAGCTTTCACAAGTCTCCCACTTCAGATACAAAACACTGGCATCCCTCCCCACTTCCTTTTCTGCATAAATTCAGTTATTGAAGCTACAGACACGACTCTCCTCTAGAGTAAAACCAAGGGGCAGACAAAAGGGAACTGAAAGAAGGCAAAAACTATATTTGGATTTATTTAGGAGACATGGTCAAAGCAGTGTAAAAGGAATTTAGTCTAAAGGAGAATCATAGCTCAGAGGTGGATGTCATGGACATCAACTTCCCCCTACCAAAAGTAGTCTAGTTCCTCATTGACAAGGATTGAGAATAATTTATCTTTTTAAGATTTCTCACATCTTTGTGTAAATGCAAACTTTTTGGTTTCTCGCCAATGGCATATATTTTGCTATGTTGTACCTTAGTCTGTGCATCATTGAGGACACGAGCAGGCAACAGGCGGAGGCAGGCTACAGTTCCCTCACTGGTGGATGAAGGGCATCCCACATCTTCAGCCAGGACTGCTGCTTGGGTCTGTGCTCTTCTTGAGGTAATAATGGATGCTGGAGAAAAAGCTGAACCTCCCTAGAAAAAAACCCCCACAATAACAGTCAACACGTTGTCAAAACACCTGGTTCCCTGGTGCAGGTAAAAAAGATGAGAAGAAAAATCTGTCCAGCTGCAGAATGTAAGGCACTGGTATTTAAATCAATTGAAGCAAGTTCTAATGATTAAAGTAAAGAGGTGTAGGGTTGGTTGGGCTGTTTGCAGATCTGCCACGGTTATTTTGGAAGAGCTCCGAAAAGTGTCTATACTGTCTCTAACCAAGTCACAAACCTGTCTGAAAACTTTGCGGGAAGGAGAAACACTGAGACAGGAGCAGATACAAAGAAGGTGCTGTGAGGTACAGGAGGGGATGAGGACTCCATCTTATGAGAGGAGATTAAATAGAGTTTTATTATAACTGTGATAAACAAGGACTGAAAGCAGGCGTGATGTTCCTAAAGAAGAGCTATTTATACCCTGGGACAACGCTTGTACAAGGACATGGGCATTAAGTATTCATATTGAATGCAAATTAATTTCAGCTAGAAATCCTAAGACAGCTAACCCAAGAAGCAGTGAGGGGTTGGAAGAGCTATGAACTCAGGTAGTAGGAACAAAAGACTAAACCAAACTACAGAAGATCAACCAGAGCACGAAGACTAAAATCAGAGCAGAGGCTACAGTCCAATCTCTATCCCAGACTCTTCGTTTCTTTACTACATCTACACCAACATATAAAATGTCCGTACCAAGAAATGATACAACATTTTTGAGTAGGCGTGAAAACTTCTTAATGAAAATGCAGATAAATTAGCATAAATCTGATAAGATCTGGCCTAGAACAGAAAGGTTGGAATAGCTCTGACATGTTTCAAATGACTAATTTCTAAACATTTACATCAGTTTACTATAATAACTGCTAATATTAGCTTCTGTCCTCTAAAAAAAAACCCACACCCTAGACGTATGATATGAAAGACCCTGATCTATTCTACCGATTAACTTACTTCTTCCTGAATTTGCTCAAAGCATAACTACAAGTCTGCAAAAGCAAGTTAAAAAGAAACACAAAACAAACAGCAAAGCCTTAATTTGAAACTGTCTCAAAACTCTGAAGCCAGAGAACTCTGTGTAGCTCTGGCTGGAACGCAGGATATTTTTTATATTTCAAACAAGCAGAGCCATGGTTACTAACAGGATACCATTGCTCACAACTGGAGAAATTGGTTTCCAAAAATAAGGAAGAGGTTATTGTTTGGGTGTAGAGACAGTCTTTTTAGATCACTGCATGTAGAATTTCCAGTGCTACTACCTTCCTGAAAAGTTTCTCTTCTTTTTTAAGGGAACTGGAAAATAAGCACTGTTATTAGCTTAATGGCTGAGAAGCAGATGGTTGCAAATAACCAAAGTAAAAACCTAATTTTCAATCCTGGGCCACTGGAAGAGCCATCTCCAGTTTCAAGAGTGTGAAAGAACTAAAGAAGAAGACATAAACACCACTTGGTCTTATTCCTCACTTCTGCACTCAGTTTAGATTAAGAACTCAAGTGAGCCATGGGCTTTATCTTCACGTGGGATTTGCGGTCGCCTATTTTGTGTTCGTAAGGCACGATATTTGCCAGCTGCTGACTAGGTGCACTGACTCAGTTGGGCATGAGAGAGAAAGAAAAATATCCTTGATGAGAGTATCTCATGTGTGGGTGGGTCTCCAGCACACAGAACGAAAATGATGTCTTTTCACCTGGCCTTCAGAAGAGCATGTTCTCCACAGCTAGGATGAGTGAGACTAGAAAAGGGACAGCACAGCATGCCAGCTTCCCTCAGAAGAGTAGCTTCCTTGCATTTCATTTGGAGCAAGAAATTATGTACCTCCTTGGTATAGCAGAAAAATTAAATCTAGGATTGAGAAATATTTAATCCACTAATATGGCAAACATATTCTTCCCCATGGGATCTAAACATGCTCAGCATGCTTTATCAAGTATCCAATACCTCCACATGGCATTCATTTAAAACAAAACAAAGCCAAACCATCAAAAATTAAAAGGCTTCAGTTTCCCAAACTCTGAGAGCTTCACAAATTTTGAAAATAGAAGTTCCTGTGGAAATTCTGAAGTTGTCTCATTAAAAGGCCAAGTTTGGTAGGGAAAGAGAGTACTGAGATCAGATGACATACAGAACACAGAAATTCACTGGGACCAAGCAAAACATCCTGGTGTGTGCTTGATTTTGAACACATCTCCTTCCAGAGGTTTTAAAAGCTGTGCAAAGTCTCCCTATCTCTGAGATATCTACAACCTAAAAGATTGTCCTTGGGTCATGTACTGAGTCAAACAACAACTGCAAAAACTTCTGGATGGACTTGTCCCACAAGTTCTCCACTGCAGGGGTAGAACTAAAGGCCTGGACAGGCAAACCTTCATGTCACAGCACTGGATATGTATGGGCTAACAATAGATTTGATCGAAGCTCAATGACTAAAAATAAAACCCAAAACTTTTACAGACACATTTGTGAGGTAAGTAGGGCTCTTGTTTGGAGCCTTACTCTGGTTGTGGATATTTTCTCTTCTTTCCATGAGTGATTAGAAGAGGTTTATGTGGTCTTTTTTATTCTGGTTTTTTCTTCCATTTTCCACGGTAATGGCCATTTCCCCAGTTTGATTTTTTTTGATAACATCCATATTCAGGGAGCAAGTCTTGCATTTGGGGTTTGAAAGAGATGTGTTATCTATTACTTCTAATAATGTTTAACTTTCACTAGGACTGTAAGCAGGTGATAGAGAAGCTTGGGACATAATTCAAGCAGTATTTGAAAGAAACAGCATTATGTTCCCTTCCCAGGTACATCTAAAATATGTTCCAGGCTTTGAAAACATGGCTCCTCTTACTGCAGAAGTTAGGCAAGCAAAACTGTACCAGTTCTCTGTTTTTCAAATTCACATAAAAATTTAGGCTCATTGTTTCCTCATCCTTGCCAAAAAAAAAAAAAAATCCTCAGGAACAAACAAGTGAGAAAAGAAGCTGTGACTGCCCAGAATTAATTTTCTTTCTTTTTGAGCCTGCAGTTTTCATATTAAACAGAAATCTTCCCTAAACACTGTAGCCACAGGCTCAGGACACAGAGGATAACACAGCTACACTCAGCATTTCTCTCTTTCCCTATAAAACTATAATTTATTTGTGTGATTAGTCCCAGAAACCAGCAATGGAGGACTTGTGTGCTTTAAAAAATAGGACTATTTAGGCAGAAGCAGAAATAGTGGAGGGCCTGTTTATTTCCATTACATGCACCCATATTACCATCAACATGACAGAATCATGAATCAGAAAACCAAAAATCATGAGATCAGCTCAGAAATAACAAACACTGTGTTCTTTTTGTTACTCCTCTGTTTTTTAATTCTCCAGGAATTCTCCTTTACCTATCAACTCGAGAGCTAAAAAGTTCACTTTTAAAACTAACAGCTGAAACCTTCAGATATTCCTGCAGAGTTGTTTTTTGAAAGCAAACCTCTAAAAAATATGACATATACAATAAAATTGTGAACATTAGCCACCCTGTCGTCACTGGGTATTTCCTATCTCAGCATCATTTGGAAGGGTTTTACAGGGAACCAAAGTCACACACAGTTCCTGCTTTAGCTGTCCTTACAGATGGACCCACTGTCAACAGAGGAAGTGTTCAGTACTGAACTGCTAAGAAAAAGCACAGTACACAACAGCAATGTTACACTGCTCTCTGAAATTCATAGGAATAGCAGGAACATTACAATGTTGGGCAGCAGTACCTGCTGCAACAAGTGATGGCACTGAAAATGGGAGGCAAAGCCTTCAGTACTGCTTGGTTCAGGGACCAGGGGCATTGTCAGCATTTCCTCATTTCTCTTTTCAAAATTAGAGATTCAGCTGGACAGTAGAAATTCAGATACTAGGAAATGCTGTGGCTCACAATGGTGAGAAGGTGACGAATGCAAACTGGTGTTACGTGATGATGAATTCTCACTTTGATGTGAGGCTGTGATCAGCTAGCTGGGGCTGGTGCCTCTTGTTAAAACTTCTCTTTTGGAACATCATAGCTCAAAAGACCCGCACTGTTGCTATCCTGGCCATCCCAATTCTTTCTCCACAAGCCCATGTTGCTATTCTGATGACATAATAAAAAAGGATATATGGTCCTGTATTTGGTTTGAGTGGCCAGGTTTTGGTAGTGAGAGGCTACATACAATAACTGCATTGTTGTGCAGAAGAGTGAGAGTGGCAGATCTCAGAGGGTCATAATCATGCTTTACTTCTCATTATTCAGCTCTGATTTAATTTGTAATAAATTAAGCTAATTTCTCTCTTTTGTCTGTGATGGTAACTTGTGAGCAATCTCTCCCTGTCCTTTTCTTGACCCACAAGCCTTTCACTATATTTTCTCTACCCTGTCCAGCTGAGGAGGGCAGTGACAGAGCAGCTTTGGTGGGCGCCTGGTGTCCAGCCAGAGTCAACCCTCCACAGGACTATCACTGTCATCTGCCCCTCTGTCTCCCAACATACCCAGAAAAGACAATTGCCATATAAGCTGCAGTGGTGAATGTCTTTTGATTTCTCATTTAGTTTGGAAACTCACTTTTGAAAAAATTTTCAAAACTCATTCAGAACACATCTAATGATTAGAAATTTCACTGGACTTATTTTTATCAGCCACACTCTGCAAAACCAAAACCACCTTCCTCTTCTCACATCACGACCTTTTGTTTTTCCAACCTGACTTGAAAATTAAATTCTTGCTTGAGCCACATTTTTCTTTTCAACCCATGCACTCCCTGCAAATGAATGCAGTTTCTCTGATGGCTGCAACCAAAGTAGGCTTTCTTTCTGCCCTGAACCCTGCTATAGGCAATGCAAACAGCAATTACAGTAACACCACCCAAAAACCGAGATCAAAGACATCTAATGCAAACAGTCAGAGCAATGAAATGTCCTGAGAATTCTATTTTCCCAAAAGAACCAGCTGTACAGCAATATTTTATTTGTTAAAAATAGGTACTCTCC